TCTTCTTCTTCTTCTTCTTCTTCTTCTTCTTCTTCTTCTTCTTCTTTCTTCTTCTTTCTTCTTCTTCTTTTTTTGCGGGGGATTACTGGATGCAGCAATATTCTAGGCATTGCCTTACTAAGCGTTTACAAAGCGGTCCTAATACTTTACGTGATTTTGATACTATGCCCCTGTTTATCCAACCAAGGATCATATTGATTTTTTTTTGGGGGGGGGCTGCTGCCGCACACAGCCAGCTCCTATTTATTCCGCAGGACCCCAAATATTCTGCCTTGTTTTGTTTTCGTTTCAGGTCCTGCGCTCTCCAGCTTCAATGCCAGGGGCCATTTTAAAGAGGTAAGTTCTGAAATGGTTTATTTTCTGCCTCTGAAGATTTCCAGTTCTGAGTGTCAGGACCTATTGACTTATTTTTTTAAATTTTTTTTTGGGGGTAGGGGGAGAGACTAATTCAAGAAAAGTGATTTGGATACAAGAAATAGTGGATGATCAGATAGAATTTAAACCGGAACTGTTCTTGTTGGGAATAATTAAAAGGAAACGTAGGAAAAAGATTAACTATATTTTACTACATATTCCGACTGCAATGAGGATAGCAGATGCACAATGTTGGAAGCAAAATAACATGCCCTCAGAGGAACGAGGAATCCCCCCAAAAATCTAGGTTGTGCTGAAATGGACAAACATACGTTAAAATTAAAGGATAAAGAAGGCTCCGAGTATTATTATGTTTGGGGTAGTTAGTACAAGCGGTTGAATAACTGAAATAAAGATACTAGAGATAGGAAAATTATAGATAAATGTATATGAATGTGTATAAATAAACATGAGATTGATATGTTATGTTACCACACCATTAATAGTCCTTGAAATATGACAGGTCACTTAATGAATGTCCTCGACTTACAACAATTTCACTTAGTGACTGAAGTTACAATAGTACTGAAAAAATGTGACTTATGGCCATTTTTCATACTTAACAACCATTGCAACATCCCCGTGGTCACAGGATCAAAATTTGGGCACTTGGCAAACTGACTCATGTTTATGACGGTTGCAGTGTCCCTGGGGTCACGCAATCCCCCTTTTGCAACCTGCAAATAGGGAAGCCCGATTCACTTAACGACAGGGTTACTCGATGAATGACTGCAGGGATTCCCTTTACAAACATGGCAAGAAAAGTCGTGAAATGGTGCGGAACCTCACTTAGCGATGTAAATTTTGGGCTCCATTGTGGTCGTAAGTTGAAAATACCTGTATTTTTTTTCCCCCACTTTCAGGCACCGATTGGAAGCTTCTTCCAGAACATGCTGTTAAGACGTTTGTGGGAATCAACCAGGAAGGAGTACACGAAGCGTAGGAATTTCTCCCATTGCTTCTGGAAATTTTGTGTCTGACCGGCTGGGAACCCACTCGCTTCCAGTTCCTTGCCCTATAATTTATGATGTGATCAAGCAATAAACTAGATCCCTGCATATCATTTCTGGAAACGCACACGTGATGAAAATAAAGCCATACTGAAGATGGCAAAAACGCCTTTGTTGCTTGCATGGGATTTAATAAGTCTGTCAGAAATTCTGTATGTAGCCCTACCGAATAGACAGCGCACAGTCAACATGTGCTTTCCTGCTTAACTGCCGCAAGGAAGCAGCAAAGCACTGCCACCTACTGGTTGAAAAATATGTATCTCTACTGAATATCGCTGCAGGTGTAGAAAATACATAAATGTTGTAGTCCAACAAAATCTTCTGTAGATCTTCTCTCATATTATTGGAAGCAGAGAATTATTTTCCTTTCTTTTTCCCACCCCTGTGGTTCCTGTTCAGGTTTAGGGAACAAGAAAAGCACACGTCGCAAATGTATTATTTAAATCAATTTATGTGACTGCCCATCTCAAACATGATTCTGGGTGGCTGACAAAGATTTAAAAAAATACGATGTAAAATTTGAATTTGTATTCACCCCCAAAAGGAACTGCTAAAGGAAATGCTTTTCAGAATTAGGGGACTAGCTGTATTCCTTCATCCTGGTTTCTCACAAAAAGAATCCTGTGATATGGGGATTGGGCTGAGAGAAAGTGACTGCCCAAAAGTCACCCAGCCAGCTTTCATGCCTAAATCTGGACTAGAACTCCCTTTTTCCTGGCGATTGGCCCAAAGTCACCCAGCCGGCTTTCATGCCAAAGTCTAAACTAGAACTCACCTGGCTCCTAATCTGGTGCTTTAACTACTAGACCAAACTTTCTTTCCTGAGTTCAAAACCCCGTAAGCAACAGTGACACCCAGCAAGTACGCTAATACCAGCTGACCCCCCCCCCACACACCCCCTTTGCTGAGGATTGGCCATATATCCCTTCTGGGCGTCCCACAGAGGGGCTCCCAATCCATCCCACCTTGAAGGCTCCTGCGCAATTCAAGAACCTTCCAGGCAAACAGCAAAGCAGCCGATTTGTCATCATTTGGCCGGAGGGACACAGCGATGCCGTCTCTGCCATCAGATCGAGCGAGTGAGTCATGCTCTAATGGCTTGAGCTAATTTCATCAGGCCGGCCGGATTGAGGCTGTTTTTGTAAGCAAGCTGCCCACGACGACGCATCTCAAGAGCGCTGAGTAAAAGGGACCGTTGTGCAACAGGTCAACAACGACCCTTGGGAGGGTGCGTGCGTGAGTGTGTAAAAGCACTGGTAGGATGGTCAGCTTGGAAGGTTAGGATGCCACCCTCCTCGATTTGAGGGGGGGGCCTCCACATCCGTTCGCCCTCTTCAGTGGGTTGGTTCCCCCCACAGAAGAGGGAAAGGTCTGCTAAGATTTCAGAACAGAATAGAGCTGGAGGGGACCTCAGAGGTCTTCTAGTCCAACCCCCTGCTCAAACAGGAGACCCTCAACCGTTTCAGAGGAAAGGTTGTCCAGTCTCTTCTTAAAACACCTCCAAAGTCTCTTCCAGCTTTATTCTGATCCTTCAAAATGGTCTAAGGTCTCCTGCTTGAGCAGGGGGGCTGGACTAGAAGACCTCCAGGGTCCCTTCAGGTTGATTGAAGATTAGGACTCCCCGCCAGCCCTTGCTAGTTTGTGCAATATTTTCTACTTCTTCTTTTTTTTTTTTCTATCGATGACTCCCGCAAGGACAACCGAGCCCCAAGAATCGCCAAACGCCAAACCGGATTGACAATCACTCTTTATTAAATAGCTACAATAAAAAGTTCAGCTTCTTGACTCACCGGGCTGTTGAAAACTTTTCTGCCTGGCTGATAAAGAACCAAGATTGCTTGTTAGTAAGTAGAAAAACAGAGCCGTTCAAGTTTGGTTAGGAACTGGGTAGGAAACACGACAATGATGACTACACTTCCCGGGTAGGAAATGCCTATTTTCCAGCGTTTCCAAACTGGCATTTTCAAGCTATACAAAAATATTGGGTGGGGCAAAAAAAACCCAAACAGAAATATAACTAGGTTTTCTTAGGCAAGTAGAAAAATAATCTGACGAGATAGCTCGAATAATTTATGGGGATCAGCTGTTGCTGTATTTGTGGCTATTTAGGGTGCTAAATTGTCAAAATACAAAAATGAAAAAGTGAGCGTGCCACAAAGAGACTTGAACCTATAAAGAAATAAGGCTCATTGGAACAGAATGACTAAATTGGCAATGCACAACAACGGTTACAAAAAAAATAACCTAATCCTTCCGAAAAGCCATTGCGATTTATTTATTTTTTTTGGGCTTCCAACGGTGCTGGGGTTAAAAAAATCACAACCACTAAATCTGTGCAATAAGCGGTTCGACTCGGGTTCAAACAAGACACCCGACTTAGATTTGCATCCAAAATACGTCCAGATTTTCGGTTATTCTAAGTGCCCCAATTGTACAAATCTCTGCGCGACACTTTAAAAAAAATCCGGCTTAAAAAGGAGTAGTGTGTGCACTTTTGCTCCCCTCGATAAATTGTGGTGATTTAATGAAGGCATCGTGGTTCTTTTATGTCACAATTGTGGTTTGTTTTTTTAAAAAAAATTGATTAATTTAAGGAAAGCAGAAGTATGAACTGATTCTCGGTTCCTAACAGTCTAACCGGGACAGGAATAATATGAATTTGTCAAAGAAATGACAATTTTAGCACATGATCGAGATGGAGGCGTGAAGTTTTTCTCCTGCAGCTTGCGTACTTCTGAGCTGTCCGTCACTCAAACTATAAAGAGTTATCAAACACAGCAGTCCCGAATAAAATGATTTGTGCACCCTTAACGAAAAGCTTGGCAACAGAGCAGGTCAAAATGGAAGAATTTTAGAGGTTGAACAAGGATTTTAATCTTCTGCTGGTCACCCATACACACTCCAAACTGCAAAGAAGAAAGAAAGATTAGCAAAAACAATAGTGTGCGATTGCTTTTAAAAAATGATTTTTAAAATTAAATTTAATGTACGTATACATACAACTAGCTCGATACCCGTGCTTCACTATGAAACTATGTGGTGGGGCTTAGTTTTTGGGGAGAAGAATAAAGGGAGAAAAATTCTGCCTCTGCCTACCAGCATCCATTGGTATTCATCTGGCTACTGTCTTGTCAGTGTGTGAGAGAGTTGAGGGCTGTTTGGAAACTGCAAGAGTATTTGCTGTGTGAGTAGAGACAGCAAGGAGCCTGGGCATGGCTTAGCTCAACTGTTCTGTACTAAAGCTGCTTGGTGCTGTGAAACTGAAATGCCTCTCCTCTGCTTGTGTTTTGTGTTTGGAAGAGATTTCTTTTTTTCAGGTGGGGAGGGAAGTCCTTAGCATCAGAGCGTAATAATAATAATAATAATAATAATAATAATAATAATAATAATAATAATA